CACGTACATGCATGTCTGTAGACTCTGTACTGTTCTTTGCTGCTGTGGCACGCGCCAACCTCACTGCAATGCAGCGCTGTGTGCATTAATTGGCAGAGAGACAGTGGGTACGTGGTATGCAGGGCGGAACGGATAGAGAACAAGGAGACAGGAGAGAGAGAGAGAGAGAGAGAGAGAGAGAGAGAGAGGGGAGGACAGGACACCGGCGGTGGTGACTGATGGACGCAGAGGTGGACAAACAGTGTGACAGGTTCAGAGAGGGACAGGCAAACAACAGACGCCGCGCTTCGTCCGTGTTTGTGCGTTTTTCTTTGTGACACTGCTGCGTTTGTGGGCGCGCGCGCGCTCGTGTGTTCAGTGTATGTGCCGTGCAGATATCACTCTGCTGGAGCAGAGCTCTCTATAAAACCCAAACTCTGACTCAGTGCATTCAGGGCTTTGTGATATCCTCCCTTTCATATTTCCGGTGCGACTGAAAAGTAAAAGTTTGCTCAGTTCAGCACAACTTTTTTTTTTTTTTCTTGACTTGAGGTCTGTCTGGTGAAGAGGGAAAAAAAAAAGAAAAAAGGAAAGGAGTGCAATGTGTATCAACGCTCTCTTAAAGCCCTCATGAAAAATATAATAATTCCCTGCACCAAAGATGTTCACTCTCTTCTGGGGTAAAAAATCATTCACCAGAATTCTTGCGTTGGAGAAATAGAATTGTCCTATAAACCCACTTTATAGAAAAGTTGGTTCTGGTTCTAAAGAGTTAAAAAAAATGCAGTAAAAACTGCAATCTGTTAATTGGTCATGTACTTAAACTGGAGTTCCTAACTCTGTACCAACTTGGAAAGTTAGGACAGGGTTTACCACTGGGTCACATCAGGTTTTTAATGTAATTACAATTTTTTAACTTCATTTTTTTTTATCATTTTGAGATGGATGATATTTTTTTTTCTATGGCTACAAATGAAATCCCGCCAGTTTTTTCAGTCAATCCTCCATGATTTTTTACAAACACATCTGGACTGCAGGCAGGCCAACGTCAGCGTCATCGAACCAACTAATAAACAAACATCATTTCTTAGAAAACACATCTAAAAACCACGGCACTGAACTGAAGCCGAAACATCTGCTTGCGATTTTAACGATCTTATAAGACCACCACTTGACACACTCAATAATTTTGGTACGACGATGACCATTTACTGAATCTCATTAGCGAACGTCCTCCATCTGCACCACCGTAGTTACCAAAACCATTCGAGAGAAACCGAAACCATACATTTGTTTGAGTTCAGCTCGGCTGTCGCGGAGTCCATTGCTTAATTTCTTGCCGCATTTCTATTGGCTGAATGGTAGACATCCTAAATTTCTGACACCGCTAAAATTTTATCTCAGTTTATCTTTGGTCACAAGACGCTAACAACGTGCGACTTTGAACGCATCTCACGGTGGACTGTAAGGCCATCGTTTTAGAGCCACGACCAAAGACGTCTCCACACCGGACATAAGTCATTTCTACCGTTCAATCTTAATCACATGATTTTTTTAGACCACCATCTTGTCTTTTGCATCTTTGACACGTAGAATTCAGCATCAGATTTTCCTGATAACAAGACGGAACAGACTCATGTGACAGCAGAACACGCGTCTGTTGTTTGTTGTTTGTCTTTCAGTCTCTGAATCTTTTCACCACATCAGCTGCTGTGAATACGCAGAGGAATCGTTAATGAAAAACTCCTGTTCTAAATCAACAGACTACAGTTTTCACACATTGAAGCACAACAGTCGACTAGTCGTTAGCTAGAGCCGGGCCTGCGATGGATGCTAATCTCAAAACTATATTTGTTTTTGTTTTACAAACTGATTTTAAACCCTCTGAATATTTTCCGGTTTCTGTTTCAAGTTGACCAAACTATAGGTTTTAGTTTTATGAGAACCGTTGAAGAAATAATAAATAATATCTGCACTGGTTCCTAAAGAGTGGGGCGTGTCCCGCTTGGGGGCATATAAAGGTCAACAAGTTTTGAGTGCCAATATTTTGTTTTTGTTTTTTATCAGTTCAGTTTTGTATCAATCACATTGTTTTAAATCAGTATTTCTCAAACAGTGGGGCGGGCCCCTGTGGGGGACGCAGTGAGGTGCCGGGGGAGTGGGGGGGAGCGAGACGGGCTTCCAGTGGAATATGGCATGCTGGACATAAGTGTACCACTGCTGTAATGCTTGAATGACAACAGGCCTCCGGTCACTAGGGGGCAGCAACTCATACAGCGGTTTGTACAGATAAAAATATACATGTTATGAGGGTCGCAATAGTATTTCAATTAACGGGGGTGGGGGTAGGATGGGAGTGTGGGTTGGGTGAGGGCGTAAAAACATTTCTGTCCCCAAGGGGGGGCATGACAGAAAATAATTGAGAACCACCAATGAAGTTTCATGGGAATTTCCATCAATAGCTGTGAATGTGTCCACTTGGAGGGGGGCGGGGGGGGGGGTCTTGATCAAAGGGGGCGGGGGGTCACTGAAGAAACTGTTTGTGTGAAGTGTACATTGGGTTTCGTCATATGTACACACATACGGTTTGACGGGCGCCTACGTGTTTTCCGTAACAGTTTGCTAATCTTGTCCTCCCACTCAGATCTTTCTGGAAGTGATCCTCTTAGCTCACTACTTTCCTTTTGTCTCCACTTCCCTGTCACAGGCTGTGGCATCTGGCTCTCTTCCTCTATCATTCACATCAAGTTAGATTTTCAGCAGAGCGCTCCGCACGCCAGGCCAGAAGAAACGGAGTGCCGACATAAAAACACAGAAATACCAGCGGAATAAGCCCAGCCGCTAACGCGGAGGTGTAAATTAATCATTCAATTTATCAATTCAATGTAGAAATACAAATGTGCCTTCCATGAAGACAGTGCTTCTCTCTGCTGCTGTGTAGGTGTTTGGCAGCGAGGTGCTCGCATGATTCAGAGAAAACACACAACACTTGCCTGAGAGTAAAAACCAAATTTTTTTTTTTTAGAAAAAAAAACAAAAAAAAACCACCGTTTGAAATTGAAGAAAATGGGAACTGCCTCGCAAAATGACTGATGATTGATTTTTTTGATTAACCTTTTTAATTCTCAAATCCGAAGGATTAGAGGATGACTGCATTGTATACATGATGTCTTCCAAGTTAGTGAAAGTTTGCTTTGCGACGGGGAGCACTGACGCATTCTCCCTGGGCTTGCGTCAAACGGGGATTTAAGAAGTTTCGCCATTTATTGTCTAATTAATTGACGGTGGAGCGTGGCGCTCCGAGAGCTGTTTTCATTTCTCCATTGTCTTAGTCATGCTCCTCTTTGTGTGCGACCGTATAGCTATAACTGTGTCCAGGGGCAAGTGGCAGAAGTTGCTTCAACCTAATTGTCTTTCTCTGCTCGTACTGTCCTCAAATGACTTTCTCTCTGTCTCAACTCTCCCCTCCCTCATCTCCTGTCCTCCCTCCCCTCGCCTTTCCCTCCCTCCCTCCCTCCCTCTGTAGCTCTGCCCAGTCTCTGTCTCCGTCTGTAACTGTAGCCTGTGTTTTTCTCTCCCTCCCACTCCCTGCGACGTATAGATACTGCATTGATCAGACGCACGCGCAGACACACGCACGTACACACTCAGCCTCCCACTCCTTTCATCATTGATTCGCTCTGCTCTCCCTCTCTCTCTCTCTCTCTCTCTCTCCCTTCATGCTCTTTATCTCTCTCTCTCCTTCTCCCTCTCTCTACAACAGCACTTGTTGAATCCAGCCCTTAGAGAATAGAGAGAGAGAGAGAGAGAGAGAGAGGGGAGAGAAACAGAGGGGAAGATAATGACAGGGAGGTAAAGGGAGGCTTTGAGCACAGACAGGGAGCAGAGAGGGAGCTTTGGAGGAGAGAGGGATAGATGCAGGGTAGAGACAGACAGAGAGACAGACAGAGAGACAGACAGAGAGACAGACGAACGGACGGGGAGAAAAGTCCCTCAGACAAGCAGAGAGAATCATCTTTAAAACAGTGAGAATGACACTTTAAGTGGAAAAAAAAAAAAACAGAAAAGAAAAGAGAGGCAGCCCAGACAGAGCACATCAGAAAACTCTCGCTCCCCTCCGTCCCCCCCGTCCCCTCCGTCCCCCCGTCATCTGCTAACTGCACTTCGGGGGCTGTCCTGGTTCTGAATGCCGCCGCTGCTGCTGCTGCCGATGTGTTTGTGTGTGTCTCCACCAAAGGACTGCCTCTCACACAGGTCAGAACTGTCTGGCAAAACACTTTTTTTTCTCTTCTTCTTCTTCTTCTTCTTCTTCTTTCAGTGTGAATGAGTGAGTGAGAGAGAGAGAGAGAGGGAGAGACTGTTTGCAGGGGACAGTCTGCTGCTGGTACGAGTTCCTCCAGGTGAGTGCTTGCATGCCAGAGTACACAGTCATTTCCCTCTGCAGCTCTGCTCTCTGTGTTCATGCATGCACACGTTTTTAAAAAGTGAGCCAAAGTACATATCATTCTGTATGGAGTCTGTGAAGTGTGTGTGTGTGTGTGTGTACCAGGGAGAGAAAGAAAGAGAGTGTGTGTGTGAGTGAGTGAGTGAGTGAGTGAAAGAGAGAGAGAGGGAGAGAGTGAGTGAGAGAGTGAGAGAGAGGCGGTGACTTTTTTCAGTTTGTGTTCCTGGAAACTGGTCTGCAGGATTTCTCAATAGTGAAACTTGTGTGTGTATATGTATATGTGCGGGTGTGTGTGGGGGTTGGCGGGGTAAAAAAAACAATGACACAAGGTTCAGGGAAGGACAGGAGGTGAAAATATGTTACTGAGAAGTGCAGAGTTCAGGGCGCTGCCGCAGTTGATGTCAGATTGGACGGTCGTGTTCTTCAGAGAACCCCCGAATGTTGACATAGACGTCCAGAAGGTGTGGACATGTGACATGATTGTCCAATGGTTTCCTGAGACTGAGATGGAGGTTAGAAAGTTGAAAGTCGCGATGACTGACGCACAGGAGTGTGAGTGTGAGTGTGAGCGATGCATGGTCTGAGTCCTGGAAGTCTTCCTGGAATTTAGAAGCAATAAAAACGACACAGTGTTTAGGTATTTCACAAGGCTCTCATGTACAGTACAACTGTATTGGCATTGTATTTGGTTTTTGTTTTTTTTTTCTTCTCTACTGACTCCACTCCTCCTTTCTCTCTTTCCTTCCCTCTAATCTCTCACCCACCATCTCTGCATACACATCCATCTCCCGTTCACACACACATCTCGCACCTCACCCTCAACTGTATTCATTTTCTCACCTTTTTCTTTTTTTTTTTCTTATTTGCTCCTTAGAAATAAATACAAATTTATTTCTTCTCACTTCACCACTCTCTTCTTTTACTCCAATGTCGTTCCCTCTTTGGTTTCAGATGCCTCTCCCGCTGGCAGAGTTCGTACTGAATATCTGAAGCCTCATCTTCCCCTTCCTCTCGGCCATCATGTCCCAGCTGCTCCATGTGGAGATACCAAACTTTGGGGCCACGGTTTTAGGCTCTCTGAACGAGCAGCGCCTGCTGGGACATTACTGCGATGTGTCCATCCTGGTCAAAGGTGAGCAGGAAACGAGCGTTTTCTTAGATTAATTTTCTTTTTTTTTTTTTTTAATGATTTTCTCTCTCAACTTTTTTCTCTGCTCTGTGCTGTGCCCAACATCCAGGTCAGGCATTCAAAGCCCACCGGGCGGTGTTGGCTGCCAGCAGCCTTTACTTTCGCGACCTCTTCAGTAGCTCCACCAAGACAGAGTTCGAGTTGCCGTCCTCAGTCACTCCTGCTTGTTTCGAACAGATCCTCAGTTTCTGCTACACAGGGAAGCTAACAATGGCAGCCAGTGAACAGCTGGTGGTCATGTACACGGCAGGCTACCTCCAAATTCAGCATATAGTCGAAAGAGGCATGGACCTAATGTTCAAAGCCAACTCACCTCACTGTGACTCACAAACGGCAGGGTCCCTGGAGGAAACAGGATCCGAACCACAGAGTCCGTCCAACAACGGTAATGGCCTCGCAGTCGCCGCCCTGCTGGGAACCCAAGGCTGGTCAACATCTCTACTTCTGCCACCGCGCAAGATTAAACTAGAAGTCGGCGAGCCCACGCCCCTGACGATACCCTCGACACAAACTAAGATTTCATCTTCAGAGTTGGGCAGTCGGTTGAGCAGAGCTGGGTCGCTGTTCTACACAACGGCTGGAGGAACTCCAGTCCCTGGTCTGCCTCCTTATCACCTCCAAGGACCCAATGGAGTTGGAGCAGGAGGGGGTGGAGGTGGAGGAGGAGGAGTTGAAAGGTCCAGTCCTGGAGCAGCCAGTCTGCCCACTACTGACAGTCCAACGTCTTATCAGAACGAGGATGAGGAGTTTGAAGAAGAGCCGTATGATGGAATCACAGAGGACGCCTACACTCATCTCTACGGACGCTCAGCGAACCCCTACGGGAGTAAGTGTGTTACATGGATTTAAAAACCTTGTTTATTCACTAAATAGTTACATTTAATTGAATTATACATTTTGACTAGACGGGGTCTAAGGCAGTGGTGTCAAACTCACTTTGGTTCAGGGGTCACATACATCCGGACCAGTACAATCATAACATAATTACCTGTAAATAACAATAAGTCCATGTTTTTCCCCTTTGTTTTTGCGGAAAAAGTATTAATCCAGTATTTTAGAAAATATTCATATTTAATTCAATCTAACTAGGTGAAACATCGCTAACATGAAATATTCGTGCTTTTTTTTTTTTTTCCTTTTAAAATCTACCAAACAGGCTGGATTTAAACACACGTGCTGTATGTTTGACACCCCTGGTCTAAGATCTTCGATGCTTAAAAATGAACTGATAAAGAAGTGAATGCATTCTCCAGTAAAGTTCAACAGTTCACCGCTTGGTCACATGTGGGGTTTTGCAGTTGTTCGGGCAGTTGGGACAGTAACTTTTGCAGTTTTGCAACAGGAAATGATTACAGCCCAATCTTACTGAATACTAGTCTCTAGCTGCTCATTGGTCCGTGGTCCAGAGTTGTCTGGATGTCATTCGGTCATGCACTTAACATTTTCAATAGGAGACAGACCTGGACTGTAGGCAGGACAGTGGAGCACATCACAGCTACGCTACGTTAACGGAGCCAAGATGACAGAAAGATTATTGGCCGTCCGAAATCCAATGAAACTTCCTCAAAAAGTTCATGACATGTTAATGGCAGATCTGCTTCAACAGGCTGCCCCTAGGAGGCGCTAAGTATGCGGTTCCTCTTGGGAATCGAACCCTGGACTATCTGTGCTCCACTTCCGATGCAGGGGTGCTAACCGCCAGAGTAGTACATTTTGCCGATGTTCGATATGCCTATATTGTCCAAAAATGTAATTTCCGATTCCGCTATCAACCAATACTGGTGTTCTGTGTCACAGTGACAATAATTCACTTTCAATTCAAAACTATTTTTAGGTCACATCACCTGGACATTGTGTTATCGGGTTTTCATTATCGGAGGAAAAAACGTTAATGATTCTTACCGATATTACATTACATTTATGCTAATATCAGACATAGATGATATCGGTTGGCCGATAATACCGATATTGTCTGTTCATCCCTTGACCTGGGTCATTGTGGGAGTGTTGCTCATGGGAGTTGCCCTCTGTAACTTTTAGGGAGTTTTTTAAAAAGGTCAGTCACTTAGAACACACATTATTTTGCCTTTTCAATAAAAACAATTTAGTGGCAGAATTATCACACTAGACATTTTAGTTTATAGTTTTGACAAATTCTTTCCTTTTGTTTCTTTTCATGTTCATATAAAAACACTAGAATTTGACAAAAGCCAGTGTGTCATGATTTCTTTTCGTCAAAAACTAATAGAACCTATTTTTTATTCACAACTAACTCAAGGATATTTTATTCTGTTGCTTCCTTAGCTCTGAAGTCCATTCATTAGTTGTTTTTCTTTAAAAATAATACAAAATATTGGTTCAATCAACCCAATCTATGAAGACCATTCATAGAATCAGGTTTATTTTCCTAGTGACTGTTTCTTTCTCTATTGCCCTTCGCTTCAACAGGATAAAGATTTCAGGGAAATCCAAAGTAGAACTTGTGAGACTATAAATGAAAGTCTGGCAGACTTATTATGTATTAAAAAAAAAAAAAAATTTAAGCACATTAATTTCATTCAGTTACATTTTTCTTTTATTTTAATAAATATTTTGCTTTTTATAAGCAGGATGTTGTGCTTCCAAAATGTGTGTGTGTGTGTGTGTGTGGGCTCTCTCAGCTTAAAGATAGCTTTATCGAGTTATGATTGGAGAACATCGTGACCGACAACACACTTCGAGTATCACAGTTACAAAAGCTGAGCTCTAATATTGTGATACGTTTGCCCATAAAGGCAGGGAGTGTTATGTTCTCTTCAGAGGAGATTTGCACCGCACATGCCGTGTGACGGCGCGCACGTGAACACACATCAAACGCACATCAAACGCACACATGGCATCTCTGTTCGTACCCCAGAGCTCCGAGGCGTCGCAGGGCTTTTTTAAATTCTAGGGTTTCAGATATTTATGAAATCCACTCGATCTGCCATCGTTCCGACCACCCCAGGGTGACATTGTGGGATATTTGAGAAGGGTTCACGGCGGCGGCATCTACTGTACAGAGTGTGTGTGTGTGTGTGTGTGCTCTCCCATGTCCTTTTTAGAGGTTAAGGGAAGCACTTTTGTGAACACGAAGTCCACAGCCGTTCCTGCACTCGTCCCCTTCCAAAATCCAAGTTGCTGATGCGGCATCACGACTTAACTGGGATACATCTGCAATGCTCTGAAACATTTATGAAACACAGCAATCTTGTATGAGATTACAGCAGCCTGCTTGGCTAATTTAATGTCGCAGTCTCTCTATAGACGGGGGACGGAGGGAGGTTTTGGTTCCAATTCATATTTAACTGTTTTCCTGTTTAAAAAAGAGAATTGGCTTCTTTGCTTTTCAAACCCTTGCCTCAACTTTTCTGTTCTTGCCTTTCTCCGTAGTCCAGGACAAGGCAGAAATGGCAACATTGCCCTTGGCTCTGGAGAACCGCAACTGTGTCCTGATCCGTAGGGATCTGGTGGCCCTGCCTGCTAGCCTCATCAGCCAGATAGGGTACCGCTGCCACCCTAAGCTCTACACGGAGGGGGACCCAGGAGAGAAGCTGGAATTGGTTGCCGGTAGGCTCACATTCTCTATGCTTTGCATTTGAATTAATTCAAACATAAAGAAGACATCGTCAGCATATAGGAGTGTCACAGAATCACTACTTATGGCAGTGATTTCGGGAAAAAAAAAATCCATCTTTGGTCTAATTGTTCTACTATGGATAATTAAAAAATATCTTTATACAGTGGAACCTCGAGATACGAGCATAATCTGTTCCAGGACCGAGCTTGTATCTCGAGGTTCCACTGTACTTAAATATTTAAATATTATATTTTTCCTCTGAACCTAACTAGCACCCTAACGATAGTGTAAGACAGGGGTCACCAATTTTCGAACGGGTATTGAGCCCCCCAGCCCAGCAGGCCGGTTTTGGCCCATGTGCCGTTTGTTCGACGTCTAAGGTCTTCGATGCTAAAAAATGAACTGATAAATAAGTGGATTAATTATTCAGTAAAGTGGGGGCCCGAATTTTTGTTTTTCAACCGACATCATGGGGGGGGCAGACACTCAAAAAAAAAAAAAAGTCATTAATGGTGGGGGTTACTGATAGGCGACTACACAACATTTTCTTGTTTATCATCACCATTTTGGAATCCAGTTGTGGGCTGGATTGGTTGGTTTGGTGGATTGGATTAACACAATTAACTTCAAATGCTGGGTAGATAGAAGTTAATTGTTTTACCTGGAATTCAACTGGCAACCCTAAGGTTCTACTCATAACAAATATATCAAACTACAGGTCGGTTTCCATACAAAGTGAGTCCACAGACATTGGCTGCAGCATTAGCATCAGTTCACTCACATACATAAACACAAACACTGTCGGGTGTCAGGAACGTTCATCACACGATGCTGACCAAGTCATTTTCATTGTTTCCATCCGTGCAGAGACGTCACAGTCATTTGAGGTCAAACTGATGCGATTGGACGGTCGGTGCAGTTCTCTGGAAAAAGCAATAGTTTTTAAAATAACAGTGAGCAGGTAATGGTTCACCTTATCCATGGCGTTTGACTGGTGTCGTTTGTGAATATGAAAGAGACTCAGTGAGCCACTGAAAAACTGCCAGGGAAAGACAGATATCTTTGTTATGTCGTTCAGTCAGACCTTTGTGGCAGAGTAAATGGACAGAAGTCACTTTGGAGAAAAAAGCTTTTGACAGCAGTGTTCCAAACTGCCCTGGGGGGGGACGGGGGGAGCGCGGAGGGTGGGAGAATATATATTGCTCTACTGCTCTCAGGGTGTTCAACCAGAGCTTTTTAAGACACTGTGAAACATGTAGCTAAAGTAACGTAGAGTGTAGCAAAAAAAATGTAATGGATTTAAGGTTGATGGAGTTCATTGTCAGTGTGCTTTTACAGAGAGGAACTGAATGAATTACCTGCATGTAGGTTTTAATTTGATTAGAATGGAGCTGGTTTGAAGTCTGAGTTGAATACAAATGAAATGGCTTTACTCTGGTTGTTTCTATAAGTGAAGATGTAAAGTCAAATCTGTGTGAGAGGTGAGGTTGGGAGACACTTTTTTGAGTTCCTGTAAAGAATTATTTTTGAGGTATTTGCTTTGAGGTTTTAGGAATTTTAATTAAAAAAAATATTTATTTGGCATACAAGCTTTAGCATTACTTTATTTAAGTAAATTTGTTTTTTAAACAAAAAGAAAAATGCAGGGATTCTTCGATTGGGAGCCATAATGAAGGTCAAACAGTTCACAAAAAACAAAAACAAAAAAACAATTAAGTAAATGTAGAACGATCCAGAAGCAAAACAGAAGCAAACTGAAAGAAAACCATCAAGAGATTTGATTAAATCCTGGTGAACTACTAGTGTCAACACTGACACTAGAAACACAGATCTACGCAGAAATGTATGACGAGGATACAAAGTACTACTGTATGTTATAGACCGTGGTAGCAGAAGGTACTGGAAGCTGAGACAAAACAAAAACGTCTTGGCGATTGTTGCTTACAGTACGTCGCAGAAAGAAACAGAAGGTACCGTATGTGAGACCCAAAGAACACCTTCCTAGCAGAAAGAAACAGAAGGTATGTGAGACCCAAAGAACACCTTCCTCACAACAAAGCACAGGGGTTTTAGTGATTGTCTTTGGGGGATGTTTTAGAAACATCTAGAATGGAATGAACTGAACTGTGACTTAGCAAGAACATGAGAAGCTAAAGCAGGGGTCACCAACTTTTTTGAAATTGAGCGCTACTTCAAGGGCACTTAGTAATTACGAAGATCTACTTGTCTGATACAGACTTCCTGAACAATGTAATAATAATCAGTTCTGGGACATACAGTAGTAGACACTTCTTATCACTGTCACTGCACACATTTGAATATCATTGCAGGTGGAACTGATTCAAAAAGCACAGTAACAGCATCTTAGGTAGTCCACGGGGGCTACTAGGTGACCCCGAGCCCCACGTTGAGGACCCCTGAGCTAGAGCCTCAGAAATGGGGAAAAACTTTGACCAAATGTCCAAAGTAAATGTTATTGACTGGCCTGCCCTGAGCCCGGCCTGTTGGCTTTTAATTCTTTGAGATGTTCAAAGCCGCTGTAGAAACTGACTAACTCAACTGTAACAGGAGACCTTATAAAAACACAAAGTGCTCGAGCCTTGGAAACGCGTTTAGCTTCATCAGCAAATCACTGTTTGTTTTTGTTTTGTTTTTGTCTTACTACTACAGGTACGCAGGTGTTTATGACTCGAGGCCAGCTGATGAACTGTCATCTTTGTGCCGGTATCAAACACAAAGTCCTGCTTCGCCGTCTGCTAGCCACGTTCTTTGATAGGTGAGTACAGAGAGAGGCCACGGGCCACAGCTAGAGTCCAGTCTTAGAAAAACTGCTCTGAGTTCTGTGTGTGACTGTAACTGAACCACAGTTGTTACCAACTCACTTTCACACTCCATCTGTGGCCATGTCCTGCTCTGCGGTTCTGTGTGTGTGTGTGTGTGTGTGTTCTCATGTACGCCTCATGCATGTGCCTGAAGCTGACACTGCCTCCTGGTGTTCACTGTGTGTCCTTGCAGAAACACTTTGGCCAATAGCTGTGGGACAGGAATCCGTTCTTCTACCAGTGACCCCAGCAGGAAACCTCTGGACAGCAGGGTCCTCAACGCTGTCAAACGTACGTTTTTGTCACTTTGTAAAATTGTTACACGTTTTTCGAACGAGTACAAACAAAATGTGATTTTTCTCCCCACAGTTTACTGTCAGAATTTCAACCCTAACTTCAAGGAGAGTGAAATGAATGTGATCGCTGCTGACATGTGCACAAACGCCCGGCGCGTCCGTAAGCGGTGGTTGCCCAAGATCAAGTCCATGCTGCCTGACGGCATGGAAGTCTACCGCGCAGGGATGGGCATGGGCGCCGCCGCCGTGGGCCTGAGCCTGGCTCTGGGGGCCGCTCAACCGGGGGTGCCCCTCCCGTTCGATCCGGACTTCAAGACCCTGGAGCAGAGGTTGTATCCAGATCGTAAGGACCCTCTGAGGACTCATGCAGCGCTCACAGACGGCAGCCCGGGGTCGGGGGCGGCCGGAGCAGAGGGTGAGGGCGAAGGCGAGAGAGCCATCCAGGAAGAGCCCGAGGAAGACGAGGACGAAGCGGGGATGGAGGGCGTTGATGGTTCACTGGGGGCGCCGACGTTGATGCCGTCAGGGGCTGATGGGGGCAACTGTGGGGACCGACATACGCCACCGGAGCAGCAGGTGGAAAGTTTTGAACAAGGTCCGAGGGTGAACGGACAGTGAATGCTAATCCAACGCCACACTCTCTTTGGCTCGCATCTCCATCCAGCACTCCTCCTTTTTCTCATCCTCCTCTTCCTCCTCCTACTCTGTGCTTCCTTGACAGGAATCTTCAGCACAAAACTCTGATTTTTCACACACATGCATGCGCATCAGTGTGCTTGTACACACACACACACACACACACTGATGATTGAAGTGGACACAGGCATTGCATTAGCATCTCTACAACACGTTGTAGTGACGAGGAATATTTAGTACAAAGTCAACAGACACAGAGTGGCTGTTTATGGTGTTATTGGATAATTCATTATTTGTTAAATGAATGGTCCTCAACCCTTGTTGTACCAAGGACCGATTGACCGGTGTTTTAGCCGTTACTGTGGACCGGTGATACCGCACCATCATGGCAGGATCATTAACTTTTCTTTCAGACTTTCTTCTGCTAGTATCAGAGTCTGAATGACCTGTTGTGTCCCACTGCGGCCCGGTACCAAATGACCTACGGACCGGCACCGATCCCCAAACCAGGGGTTGGGACCCCCCTGCTTTAAGGGTTAATCATTAAGCGAAGCCCATTTTAACCAGAGGGAAAATGAAACAGAAATAAAATTCAAGCACAGAGATGATATAAATATTTGATTTTTCCTTTTAATCAGGAAAACACTTTGATTTCAGAAAAGACGTCTCTGTATCTAACAACTAATCAGTCACATGACCTTTGGTCACGACCTTTCCCTTGCAGTGAGTTTGTCAATGTGACGCCTGTGTCTGCTCCATGACCCCCTGACCCCCTCCAACACATAGAGATGCACACATCCCACACATACACGTGCACATTTCCTACCTGATGATAGTAGTCTTTTAATATCTGCAACGACGCATTGGAAATGCACCATCCAAAAAAAAAAAAAAAAAATAAGAAAGAAAAAAAGCAACAGTCAAAATAGAAATCTCTAAACGTCTGTCTGACAGACATGGACAGGAACTAACATCCCAGCTTATGTGCATGAATACAAACCAACGGATACACACCGATACTGAGATCGACGACAACAAGAAAGCCACAAAACCTGCATCTGAATTTTAAAAAACAACAAAAAAACAAAAACAGCTATTATTGCCTCAAGATATGCCATTACTGCGCAACTGAACTCTGTTCTCACAGACCTCTGTCTGACTGACACGATTGTTACTCTGAACTCGACTGCGCTCGGTCGGGTTTTTATTTCTTTGTATCTGTCACCACACGGGTAGAGGAGACTCATCGGACGGAGTGGTACTACGCCATGTGGTTGTGCATGTCGATGCCAGAGAGAAGCACTGATTCACCTCGCCGCGGTGGTGTCACTGGCACCAGGTCCTGCTTCCATCTGGTTTTTGTCGTAGGGAGGGTTTGTCGGGGGGTAAATTATTTAATAAAATGTATGAGAGCAATTATTACTGCTGGCTTATTGCATTTGCACTCAAAAAAAAGGTTAAAGGTTGAAGACTAAGGAGTTTGTCCAAACATGATTGTACTAAAGGTGGAAATCCGCCTCCAAATCTCCCTGATAATTTATTCGATTCTGGCGTTTCTTTCAGGGTTGGAAGAATTGTTTTTTTTCTGATGTTGACTGTTTCTCAAAAATTTCAGATGGGAATGCCATGAAGCAATGTCAAAGTGCAACTTAAACCTGTATTTGTATCTAAAAAAGAAATATATTTTTTAATCATTTTATCCTTTCTGCCTCGTGCTAGGCGACAGTCCAGACCGTACTTCTTTTTCCTTTGTTTTATATAAAACTGCACTGTTTTATGTCTTCTTCACTTTACTGGGGTTTTCTGCTCTGCAGCACAAGATCAGATATAAATTGAGGAAATGGCAACCCAAATATGTCCTTGAAACCATTATGTTTTTAAAGAAAATAGAACACATTAACAAGTGATTTAAAACTCCAAAAAATGTTGACTTTTGCACCATTTGAATTTGATTTAAAAAAAAACAACCTCAAAGTTAAAAAAAAAGACAATAAACGTAATGTGCTCAAAAGCTTTAAAGCTGCAAAAAAAAGGCCCTGTGAAAAACACAGGGATGAGATTGCACTAGGTAATAATGATAAAGAAACGTTTACAGAATTTCCCCTTTTCTTTTCTTTTTTTAAAAATATTTAATAAAAATGTGACCTGCTATTGATAAAACAGGGAGGCGACCAAACGGCTGAGGGAATGAGTGAATGTAAACTGAAGCACCGCTGTGACGAGTGCTACGAACTTTGACTGAATAAAACGAAATGCTTTTTTAAATACTGATGATTGAACATCGGTTCGACGCGTTAAGAAAGAAATACGTACATATTTATTGTCGAACCAAATTCTGCAGCTTTTTTGCGACGGTGAAATTTGTCAAAATAAGACATAAAGAAGTGTTTCTGTAACATTAAGAAACTTAATTTTTTATTTTTTTTACTTGTTATTATTCCACTGTTTCCCCAAGACAGAATGTCATCTGTGTCTAAAAGACATGTATTCCTAAAACTGACAGGTCCTAAAATGTTTTTATAGGTTCCCTTGAAGTCTCAAAAACTAATATTTTTATTTATTAAGAGAAAAAAATACATCTTATTAAAGGCATTTTATTGTTTGTTAGAGTCACTGCCTTGATGCCCTTCTTACTTCATCCTTTAAAGCGAGTCTTCCCAGATGTGTTTGCCTACAGCGTTCTCCAATAATTACATTACTGCCATCCCCCTAAAATTAAAAGTCATTTTTCTCTAAGTATTTTCATGCACTATAAAGTAGGCCTTTGTTTTTTGTTTTGTTTTTTTTTTGCCTTAAGACCTTTTTTTAAACTCGTCTTAATCTTAAAGTAAGAGCAAATTGATGAAAGAGCGGGAAAAAAAAACACTGACGTAGTAAAGAGTACAACAGTGTGTCATAGTAATAATGAGGTGAGGAGCAGTGCCTTAGATTGTGACTGTGTGTGTGGTTGTGATGATGTGTGTCTTCATATCAGGGGAGTGAAAAACAGGACTGTGGTAGAATATCCGAGCTGACAGAGTTTTATTTTTTACATCAAAGATTTTTTTACTACAAAGTATGAATATTGGCTTAAAAAAAAACAAAAACTTGCATGATGTAAAATTATATATTAAAAAAAATGCCACTTTGCATTTGACAGCATGTCACTGTTAAAGGGAGTAAGTGAGCAAGTTCACCTGAAATATTAACTTTATTATTATTATTAATAATATTATTATATTGACTTTCTATTGAATCAGATTTTATTCAGTTTTCAAAAATACACTTTAAAGTCAGTCTGCTTATAAAATGATCACAATGAAATAATCACAGAAATCAAGTTTGTAATGTAATGTATAAATTTAAGTCGTTTTCCAATGATTCCGTCCACTTTTGTCTCTTTGTCACCTTAGGTGCAAATCAGTGCAAAACAAAAAACAAAAACTAATTTTTTTTTTTTTTTTTTTTTTGCTGTCCTTTTGCTTGGGTTCCTTGTTGTGCAGGGTGAATGTGAGCAGGAACAAAGTTGCACTAAAACTGAAAGTTTCTTAGAAATGTCATGGCTAACCCTGGGGAGGATGAGCTCTGTTTCCTGTGTCTGACTGAAAAAGTCCTGAATAAGTCCTGTATATACAGTAATTCTGTCTGATTTTCTTTGTTTGTTTTTGTTTTGTTTTTGTTTTTTTGCATTGAGTGCAGTTTCCTCACAACATTTATATTCATCGGCAGATTTTTGCTTGCCATCCACCTGTAGGGGCGCTGTAAATCACAATAGAAGAGTTTCCATGGGATTTTACAGTATGAAATCCTATTTAAAAAAAATAATTTTTGCAAATAAATTATTTAATATCTTAACTATCACAGTGCTCAGCTCACCCTCATTGAACGGTAAAATCCAAAGCAGTGGTTTTTGGTCATTTCCAGAGTGGACTCCTGACAGGCGTACATTTTTATGCAAAAAGAGACACTTGTATCATGAATTGCATGCCATCCAGAACGATCGTTCTAACCCGACGAAACCTCTGACCCTTATGCACCATGTATTTTATGCTGAACAGCTAATGTCACTGTTAGCAAACAAAGACTGTGGACTCTGTGAAACGAGTGGGGTTGTATTTTCACAGCACACCCCGCACAGCCTTCAACTGAATGTTCACCTCTCCTGATAGAAACAGAGTGGAAAACGTAGACTAACTACCCAAGTTGAGTGTGCATTTGAACCTTGAGCAGACTCAAAAGAAAAATGCACTAGAAGTGTGTGTATACACCGTATGTCCGTGTCCTCGACAATGCCAGCACTTTAGAACTACTTTAAAAAATAAAATAAAAAATTAAAAAGGAAAAGAGAACTTGACGAAGGGTTGGGTAGATCCGGGGGGAAATGCAACTTATAAAGCCATGTGTTCAGAGCGCTGACAATCAGAACAGGGAGGAGACTCAAAGAGCAGTAAGGGAGATCTGACATGACTCGCTGTGCTTCTGCTACTGCTTTGTCTTTCTCCGGCTTGCTTTGGTCTCTGCTCGCTGTCTCCTCAGAGTGGAGGGACGATACGATGTTAACTCCAGCCTTCTATTGTCACAAATGTGTTTGTCTCCACAACAAGGACTGAATGATATTTGACTGATACCTTGGTGCTTTTGTGAACAGAGCCGTTGTACATGGTCGTGGACAATACAGTCATCTGTGAAGCTCTGGTTAAACACAGAGTCTTGGGCTCATCGGTGACTTCTAGATGGAAAACAGTCAAAACAGGAGTCTTTCATGCAAATCTACACTTTTGCTCATGGCAATGTTCTTGACTATCAACCAGGCCTGGACCAGGCCAATAGACATGGGACGTTTATGGTGTTGTTATGGCTTTATGTTACAAAAAAAAAAATGTTTATGCTCCTTATGAATCAAGCATCAGAAATATATACAACAAAAATGCAAGTTGCCACTTTTGATGTTGCGTAAGAATCTATGTTTCATTCCCATCATGGTATTTGCCACCACCAGTTTGGGTTGTGTAGTAAGTGATCTCTTTAAATGCAATACAGAAAAATTCTGCTTTCTAATAAAAGTCCTTACTTCACCACTACACTGCCTTCTCCTTTTTTGGGTCTTCTATTACTTCAAAATTAATCATTTCCAGTCTATTGTCAGACACAGTTTATTTGACTATCCTGAAAAAGTACTTGGAACATTCAAATTGTTTTCAGTAGTCCACTGAGGTTTATAGGTAGATTTAAATATTGGACGAATATCTCCTGCTAAACAACACAAAAAATAGGTAGGACAAGGTGAACTATGTAACTTAAACTTAAAATAATAACAATAATAATAATAATAATAATAATAATAATAATAATAATAATAATAATAATAATAATAATAATAATAATAATGTGCATTTGTTGGCACTCGATGCCGATCGTTGGACATCGATGGTCATTGATCGCTCTCCGAACTACTTGTCGACCTAGGC